TGAAGGTAATATAGAAAGGTTCTATAGGAAGGAGGATGAGTTGTATCTAGAAGACCAGCTGCAGTGCAGAGGTGGTAATATACCCAACTAAAGATCTTTTTATAAATATTCCTTAGGAACAGAGGTCCACCAGAATCCTAGACAAGCTACACCCAAAACATACAAGAAGATGTGAATCTAAGCAGTACCTGACAGAGGCCTAGTGAATGCTGTGCTCTGTTTTATCAGATGCCCCTCAGGGTGAAGGACTTTCTCTCCACATGTTAACAATGCTACTATAAGACCTCTTCAGATGTGCCCTTGGCAGTTACTGTCTTGTTAATACATTATTTTACTCTTTAAAACAGCATACGTGCATCTTTCTTCCTTTTTCACTTGATGACTCATAGGAAAAGTTAGCTCCTTCATGAGATGGCTCATAGTCCCAATTCCTAGGAAAGCTTTCAAAGCTACCCAATCCAACTGGACACCAGCACCCGCTTGTCACACTGTCTCTCTAACATATCAAGGATGATACTTCAGGATCACTTGAGAATTAAAAAATGAGCAAAATTACCCAAGGATATGACAGTGAAACAATACCAGGCTAGAAGGGAGAGTAGAGAGTGGGGAAAGCAGAGACTAGAGGGAGACAAAGCAGCATCCTATGAATCTCTGACCTTCAAGGAAACTCAGTGTAGCCTTAACAAACTCGACACTGAATTGAAGAAGTGACCAGAAAAAATTAATTTTACAAGTAATCTAATTCAATGTTGCTTCAGAAGACAATAAGAAATCCATAAGCCATAGGCATGCAGGTGAAATAATAATACCAAGTGAATACTGATGTTCAATTTAACAACATGGCATTTATCAAAATTTTCATAAAATGTCCTTTAGAAACACCACATAGGCCAATAAAGAATGGAGAATCGAACACATTTTTATTTTCATTCACTCCCAAAATCCTATTGAAATGATAGTAAGGGGTGGGTTGGGGAAGGCATAAACACTCAAGGACAAGAAAAATAAAGAAGAAAATACAACAGGAGAAATGTCAATGAAATTTTGGGAGCTTGAAAGCAAATAGATGTTGTAAGTAACATAGGAGACCAGAGAAGGTAACACTACATAAGCAAAGGGGCAGCCAATTCCAGCCCTGGAATTTGACAAAGACCTACGGAACACACGAGATATAAGGGCAGGATGCAACTGAAAACAGAAGTAAGACTCCAAATCCTTACCTTCTTCCTAGGGCCGTCAGTCAACTACCCCTCCCCAACCCTGGAAAAATACAAGAGATTGATGGCATTTACTTGCTGTAAACTTCTTACAGTAACAGCACTTCAGCCCAACTTTTCCCTGTACCCAAATCTGCTTCCCTCCCTTCCTCCATGTAACACTAGAAAATCAGACCAAGGCTCTGAGGGAAAAATTTAGAGAATCTCTGAAGGCAGCAAGGAGGCATTGTAGTGAGAAAAGAAGAACTGGAAGTCCCCATACTAAACACTGAGATCCTTGACCTTCCCTTGTGCAGCATCTAGAAAGCAGGCAGAAACAAAATAAAACAAAAATATATTCCAGGCCAGGAATTGGAGGATGCCGCCCTACAGAAATTCATACACTGACATCTGAAGCATCCTGAATGAATAGTTATTATCTCCCTAAAGTGAAGCTCAGTATTTGTAAGTTCCACCCACAAGCATAGAACTCCCAATATGTATATTAGCAACTGGCGCTTACCTGTAAACAGAGAGCCAAGGATCATCAAACTTTTAAAGAAAACCTCTAACTTAAAAGTCAGAGACCAAAACAAACAGAGAAAGAAGAATCCAGGAAGGTAAAAAAAAGAAATACTAAGAGAACAGAAAATAATTTTTAAATAATCTATAATTATTACCTCAAAGAAAAGATACAGAATCCATGAAACAAGAACAGAAGGTTCTAGAAAAGAACACTTAGAGAACAAGAAAGAGAACTTGCATACAGCAGAAATGTTAAAATTTGACCATAAGAGTTGTAAGATATTTTGAAGAAATTTCACCCAAAGTAGATCCAGAATCTCTAATGTCTTTCTAAGAAAAATTCCAGATAGAAGAGAAAAACAAAGAAGGGAAACTGTCTATGAAATATTACAGGAAATTATTCTAGAAATGAAGCTATTTCCAGATTGAAGGACCAGCACAATGACCAATTCAATTAACTAAAAATTACCCACATCAGAGTATATTATCATGGCTATTTGAGAACACTCGGAATAAAGATCCTCAAAGCTTCCAAAAAAGGAAAAAAGTCTTATGCAAAATAGCAAAAGTCAGAATGGTACCAGATTCTCCTGAGCAGCCCTTGAACCTTAAAAGGTACAATGACTTCCAAATTCTAAGGAAACATGATTTCCCATTAGGAATTCCACTGATCAACTGTAAGAGTAAAATAAAGACATTTTAAGACAGAGTCTCAAAGATTTCTCTCACACTCCTTTCCTTAGAAAGCTACTAGAGAATATGTTTCACCCAAATGAGGGTACAATCCGAGGAGGATTATAAGACACAAAGAACAGGGAATCCACACAGCACAAAGATGAGGGGACTTTCAAGGATAATGGTGAAATGAAGTTCTAGGTTGACAGCTTTGCTGTAGTCCAAGAGTGACAGCCAGGCTGCAGAGGACACAGAAGCTCCAAAGATGATCTGACATGCTCAGATGTATTATGAAGCAATACTGCCCTATAGAAGAGTTGGACATATGGTAATGATAAAGGTTTAGAAAAGTAAGTAAATGAACCCCAGGAAAACAAAGAGTTGTATAAGAAAGGAGGTGGGCTCACTTCTAGAGTTCTAATAATGTAAACACTGAACAATGATTTAATCAAAGTGGTGATATCACTATATTGAAATAAATGGAGGGAAAGTAGGAAAAAGAACTAAATTCTATCTGCCATTATAAAAAGTCAAAGGATACACTGAAAGGAAAAGAAATCAACAGAGACAAGAGGGAAGGTGGGGGCATGGAAAGGGAAGGGAAGGGAAGGGGAAAGTCAAGAACATATAGCAAGGACTCATGGACAAAACCAAAGGGGAAGAGCTGAGGGAGGGAAGGGGGGGGGGCAAGGGAAAGTGGTGAGGGGGGAGGGAGAGACAAATGTATTTGAAAAAATAAATTAAAATAAAATTTTTAAAAAAGTCAAAGGATAATATCTAAAATTAAAATTTAGAAATAGCACTATAAGCATGTTAATTTAAAAATATGAGATTAAATATCAGAAGAAACATCTGATAGATTTAAAAGTGGCTCCTTCCAAAGAGCAGTTTCTTAAGAGTGAAGAGGGATAAGACAGAGGTCCTTCTGCTCTTTATTAAAAGCCTTAAACTATTTGATGACTTCGAGTTTTCAATTGTTTTAAAATAGTATGACTTTAAAACATACAATACAAATATACGTACTCAGATACATATGATACATAATGCACAGCATGCTTAATGTATATTGTGTAAAATGTACTGTAACAATCAAAATTGAATTAAAAACAAAATGAAAAATATTCCCACAAGAAAATCAGATATTTATATTTTTATGTTTATTGTTTACTTATATTGATATCTCAATTATAACATTCGAGAAAGTTAAAACTGTATGATCTGGATGCTGAAAATAATTTCAAAAGAACAGTTATAATTTCCTAAGCTCACCACTTCTAAGAAAACCAAAAATTTGAATGTGTATGTTTTAGTATGTTTGCTCTAAAAAAATTGCCTCAGGAATTCACAGTAAGAAATCAATGACTGATTAAAATTGAAACATGTTTAGAAAAAAATTAAATAATTAGGTCACGATGCAGGCTGAACCAGTCAGCAAAGTTGTAACTGCCTGAAAAAGCCAGTGTGATGCTAGAAGGCATGATTCCATTAAAAGGAAGTCAGATAATCATTTCATTATGCTCAACACCAGTTATACTCTTACTACACAATCATGCTCAGATCTGGATCTCACAGCTTGAGAAAGATGCAGATAAGCTGGAGTGATATAAGTTAAAAGTAATTAAGAAGCTCAATAATCAGAAGACCTATGGCAATATCCAAGGAAACTCATAGTCTGGAGACAGAAATGCAGGGAAGCAAACTGTCTCCCACATGCCACCCTATAGGATCATCCAATAAAAGCTCAGGACCTCTGCTAAAGAGAGATTGAGAGAAAGAGAGAGTTAATGTGCCTAAAATATAAAAGGAAGAATTTAGGTTATAAATAACAAATTTTCAGAGAGTTCTGGAGATAAACTGACCAAAGACAATAAAGGGTCTCCTTCTTTAAGTGATCTTGGGGAAGCAGAGAAAAAAAGGAGAGGAATCTATCTCACATTTTTCCCATATGACACCCACAGGAATGCCAGGGAATAAACTAAGAGTTCTTGAATTCAAAGTTGAAGAACTACACAAAAAAAGAAAACCAGTTTTATCTGTGTTTATAAAATGTACCAAGTAAAACCTTAAAGTTGCCTCCTTACCACAAATCCACTGAAAAATTAGGCTGAAAGGACCACTTAGTTTCCTATATCTAATCTTCCACAACTCTACAAAAGTAGCCTAAAACCTCAGAGGTTTTTGCTTAATTTGCAAGTCATCCTATGGCTGTTCCAGAATTAGCCAGTGTTTAACTTCCACCTCTCAAAAATTAATGAAGAAACCATTAGAAATTAATTATTTGATCCAGCCTCAGCTCCCCTTAGTTTAGAATTAACTGCTTGAGCTCTGACTTGTGTGGCTTAGTAGTTGGTTGGGCATCGTCCCGCAAAACGAAAGGTTGCCAGTTGGATTCCTTTTCAGGGCACATACCTGAATTGTGGGTTTGGTTCCCAGTCAGAGCATGGACAGGAGGCAGCGGATCAATGTTCCTCTCTCACATCAATGTTTCTTTCCCTCTCTCCCTCCCTTCCCCCTCTCTAAAAATAAATAAAATTCCTTTTCTTAAAGAATAAACTGCTTGATTTTCCATAAACGGAAAAGCTGAACTTACACCCTCTTTACCTTCAGTGCTGAGAAGAACATGTGGTCCACTGCCATAACTAAGGCTTTTAATCTTCTTTCCACATAAGGCTTCTAGCTTTTTGGGGATAAGTGTACTCTGGTTATCTCCAGTTCCTAGACAGTTACTATAGTTCAGTCCAAACACAAAGACCTACAAAACAAATAGTTCCGTTTGAGCCATTTGGTCTAAAGTTACACAAAGGCTCCCTTCTTCACTCTGAAAAATAAGACACATTCAAGTTCAGTTTAACAGCTCAATAGGTAGGAAGAGATTAAAAAGTTAAGAAAAAGGTCAACCTCTGCTGACATTACTTAAGTTTTAGAATGTTTACCTATACTATACTACTCAAAGAGTAGTAGGTATAAAGAGGTATTAAATCAAGAAACGGAAAAAAAAGACAAATTATATCTAAGATAGTGTTCTTTTATCCCCCACCTTTTCTCAATCTTCAAACTGAATGCTTTAAAGCTCAATCCAAAATAAACCCTAAAATTAAACTCTGGATTTTGAGACATTCTTACCTCATCATTGTCAGTAACATACAGTGCTTCACTGGCTGAGGTGCCAAAGACACATGCTTTCCGAATAGATGCAATTTCTTGAGGTGAGAGCAGAGTGAAGATTGGCCACTTCCCTACATCCACCATGACTCTGACTTCAGGCAATTCCTATAAATATGCTGACATCTCTGCTGTAACAAACAAAAAGCATTCCAAGAAAAAAATTAAATAACTACTAAACTAACTTTATAAAAGACACTGCTAATAAAAGAAAACTAAAGCTAATTCCAGAATAAACTATCCATCTTTGGTTAAACAGATTGCTCACTTTCACCAGCAACACTGTGTAATCCTTCCTCCACCTTCAGATCTGGGCCTTTGCCTGTAATGGGAGGGAAACTTTCTGCAACCAGTTGTTTGTCTTGCACACTTATAAGTCAGTGCTAATCTGTTATATACATGCTTATTGCCAGCAGACAGCAGGTAATGGAGGGGAGACAAGCAAACTAGATGAAACCAGGGTCTCTTATCAGGAGGATGAGGTTAAGGATGTATATGTGTATTATAAAAATCAGAATCATTATGTCTACCTCCCCACTTTTCCATTAACCACCTTCAGAATGCACTGAAAGATTACTCACTCCTGTAGAATATCTCTGCCACACTGAGCCACTGTTTAACAATGGTCACCCCTTAGATAGTTTAGAGTGAAAGTATTAAGAAGCATTAGCCTAGGTCTATTGGATGAAATAAAGTATTATATCCTGGTACTAATTTATATGAGCACATTTTCTACATATATACAGACCATACTTCATTTCATGTTCAGAAAAGTTATTTGAACAAGGTAAGACAATTCACCGTAATTTTGGTGTTAGAGCTGATGACTACAGTCTTTACGCAAGTAGCAATTAGCTTAAACAGTACCCCAAAAATGTAGTGAGATGTACAAATTCCCTTAAAAACTCTAAACTTGATCTGTTCAAGGAGTTTTACACAAAGAATCCTGGTCATGGCTTCAATTATTCCAGGGTTAAAAAGCATTTCTAGAAATTACAGGGGGCAGCACAAGCAATAACCCTATCATGTCAAATGAATTTCCATTCTGGCTCTCACCTCTGGAAACTGACATAGAACCAAACAGTTGGTAAATACAACCACAGTTCTCTTGAAGTTCCGTCCTACTCACTCTCTTCTCAGATCTCTAAAAATAGCCAAGAGAGGCCAACCTAAGACCAAGATCTTTTTCTGGCTCCAACTCCCACGACAGCACCTACAAAGTACACCTTAGAGTTTGAGCATACTTAGCCAAGGCCTCAGTTTCCACCACGCAGGGAGATTTTTCCCATCAGCACCAATTTAGATGACAAGAATCAGGTGCCTGTTATGCCCCTAGTATCACACCATATATTCAATAAGCTTTACACACTATTTCCTGTCACTGCACAGCCAGCCAGACTCCTGCAATAACATTTGAATGTTCTGAAAACTGTGCATGCGGGGGGGGGGGGGGGGTGTGTGTGTGTGTGTGTGTGTGTGTGTGTGTGTGTGTGTGTGTGTGTGTGTGTTGGAGGGAACAGGTAAAGGATTTGGGGGAGAGTAAAAGCTAATACATAAACATGTTTAAAAATTTTTGTTTCAAACAGTACAAAAGGGGATAGGAAAGTAAGTCTCCCTATCCTCCCTACCAGACCCTCTCATCAAAGGCAACCACTGTCAGTAGTTTTTATTCATTCCAGAGATAGTATAGACTTACATAAGCATTATACGTATGTGTGTGGAAGGCCCACTCCTCCACTTAACAGCATATATTGCAAGTCATTCTGTATTAGCACATGTAGACCTACTTCATTTCTTTTCAATGGTACTACAGAGCATTCCATTACATAGGTTTAACGATTTGCCTGTTTCCACTGAGACATTTAAGTCACTTCCAGTCTTTTGCTAATATAAACAATACTGCAGTTACTGTTTGCATATATTATTATACATACATATTTTTTAACACACAAATTTCTAAGATAAACTACTAGAAATGGAACTGCCAGGTCAAAATTTAATAACTGGTTTACCTTTAACAGCTATTTCAAATTGTCCTCTACTAAAGTAGTACCAACATATAAAAGAACCATCAATGTGTGTCAGCACCTGTTTACCCACACTCTTATTATACAGTATATTATTGTGGGTCTCAGTTTTGTTTAAACTTCAATTCCTCTTATTATGAGTGAAGCTGGGCATCATTTTTAGAAATAACCATAATAATAGCAAAAATAACAAATAACATTTCTTGAGCACTTTGCGCCAAGCATTGTTCTAAATATTTTATATTTATTAATCATTTAATCTTCACTTTAGAGACAAGAAAACTGAGGCAAAGAGATACTAAGAATTCACTCAAACTAGTAAGTGACAGCATGAAAACCCGAAGCCCTGCAGCCTGAAGGCAGCATGTTCATTCTTTATCTCTTGGGTTACATGTTTAAGAGCCCAGGTGCCATTTTTTTATATGAAGTCCCTATATTTTCTACTAGACTGTTTTTCTTTTTCTTCATTTATAAGCGCTCACTATATGATAAGAAAATTGTCTTAAATGTTTTGCAAAAAAGATGCCCCCCAAATGGCCTGCTTTGTACCTCTTAAAAAGCAGGTAAGAAAAGGAGTCATGAGAAGTAAAACTGTAAATGTCAATGAAGTAAAAAAATTCCAAGAAAATCCAGAAGCATATATTCCTAGATTATGAACCAACCATACCAAAGTTAGTCTTCAAAATGTAATATTTTGTGTAATATAGAATTAAATTTTAAATAGAGAGAGGGAAGAGAGGGAAATTAATTAGTCAAAAAATAAGATTTACCATCTTTAAAATTACAACACAAAGGGACATTACCATTCAAAAACCTGAGAGCAGTACAATTATTCTGAAATTATTAATCAGTTACAAGCAAGTCTTCCCCAAGGATTTGGCAATCCACTGAAAAATCAAGCTAACTCTCACAATGATGGCTTATTATATGAACTGAGTGTACCCATATTGCTAAATTACTTGAAGCTTTATTTTACAAGATATTTCTCCAAAGACTTGTAATTTAAGAGTCAATGCCCTGACCAGGGTTGCTCAGTTAGTTGGGCGTCAGCCTGCAAGGAGAAAGATCACAGGTTGATTTCTGGTGAAGGCATATGCCTAGATTGCAGGTTCCTCCTGATGGGGCACATGTGAGAGGTAACTGATCGATGTTTCCCTCTCACATCAATGTTTCTCTCCCTCCCTTTCTTCTTTCCTTCCCCTCTCTCTAAAAATAAATAAATAAAATCTTTAAAAAAAGGAGTCAATATAAAAACCAAGTCATATATCTTCCATGTCCACACCCATCATAAAAGCAGAAAGTGAAAATCAAGATGGCAGAAGAGTGAATGGAAATCACAGTGACCTCCTCTTAGGACCAATCTGAAATTACAATTAAATTGGGGAGAAATCACCTGGAACAAACAACTGGCCAACAGGGAGAGAGGAGCCTTATAACCTCGGACAGACAGAAGAATCACCATTAGCATAACCCAACTGGTGAGGGGTGTGGTAGAGACTCAAGAAGGCAGGCAGGCTCACGGGCAGCAGCACCAGAAGGATACTGAAACAGCCAGCAGGACACTCCTGAGAAGAGTGGGGTCTAAACCATAAGCAAGGATCTCCAGCCTACAGCACCAGAGCCCAAAAAGTACATAGATAACAGTCAGCTGTAAAAAGCGGCAGGGTTGCTCTCTGCCAGACACGGGAGTCTGGAAACGCAAAAAGGTCTTTTAAAGGGCCGATGCACAAATTTTAACTTGCAGCCACTTCCCTGATCTCCAGCAAAGGTGGGGGCAGAGTGGGCTAGAGACGCCTGAGGAGAGACTGGGGAAGGAGACTTTGGAGAGAAAACTGACAGAGTAGCTAGCGGGATCCCAGTGCTGACTTATCCCCCAAACGGCAGCAGCCATCTTGCTCAGGTAGACCACTCCCCTGAGCGGCAACAGTGTGAGAGGACACAAAAGCCTCGCTCCAAGAGGGACTCTGCCGTGCTGCCGTGGTTCCGTGGTGCTAAAACCTGACTGCAGTGTAGAGTGTGGCAGCCGCAGACAGTAGATCCCTGGCTAAAGGGGGTGCAAAGTGGTCTAGAGACAGTTGAGGAGAGACTGGAGACAGAGGCTTTGGGGAGAGAACAGAGAGAGTAGCTGGCAGGATCCTGGTGCTGACTCCTCCCCCATATGGCAGCAGCCATCTGGCTCAGGTGGACCACTCCCCTGAGCAGCAGCAGCATGAGAGGACCCAATAACTCCGCCCCCAGGAGAAACTCTGCCCTGCCCTTTGGTGTCTCTAAGCTAGCCTGCTGAGTGTAGAGTGACTAGATTAACAGCTGAAGGAGACAGCCACAGACAGTAGATTCCTTGAAGTCTCAAACAGACTGCCTAAGGTCACACAGGGTCAACATCTGACATCATCAGAGGCAGATCCAGAAAGAAAAAACAGTGGTCTCCTACCATGGAAGTTTACACCACAAAGTCAGGAAATCAAGACAGATCAATTTAAGAAGCAGAAGCAGAAGCAGAAGCAAAAAAGAGTCTCACAAATAATGGGAAGACAAAGAAACACCCGCCCCTCCAGTTGAAGGGAAAGGAGGAATCCCTAGAAAGTGTTGGGAAATGCCCTGCCTGGTTTCAGGAACTGTAACCCTGCTGACAGGCCGGAGGGCCCCAAGGCTGGAAATAATCAGGAGGCCTTGGAGAAACAGGTTCCTGAGGTGACATAACCTGTCCCTCCTGGCAGGGGCGCAGCTCCTGCCTTTCTGCTTTGTCTTGTGATGGTCCTTGTCAATGACAGGTAAGACCCCTCAGGGGAGGGGCACCCTAAGCCAGGCACTGACCCATTATAGGCAGCAGACAAGAAACTGCAGGACATGGAAAAAGGACAAAAAGGCCTGCACCTCTTGGCTTGGCTTGAATATGGCCGGAGTCCTCACTATAGCCGAAAAGCAGTCTCCTTATATTTTGGTGGTTCCCTCCCTACACCTGGCTCAGGCTTGAAACAGTGCAGGAATCAGCCCTAAATCAGATTTGCCGGTTCCCAGTGAAATCAGGCCTAAAAGTAAATTCTTTGAAGTGTGTTTTCTTCTTCCCTCAGACCTCTGGCTAGCTCATGCTGCGAAGGACATTT